CTCTGGCTCAGGGCCATGTCGGGAACAGAAATGAGCCCATCACCCTCCTCTTCAGTTTTGCTCCATTGCAGTGATTTTTTGGCAGACGCAGCCTCGACAGTACGTGACTGTGCAAAATATAGTATTGGACATAGCCATGTTGACTCATTTGGAAAATGTTCTGCTTTCTCAAACCATTTTCCACAGCTTCCTTTTATGCAAGCCAGGGCCAAGGAAGCTCATTGTTCACTGGTGCTCACATTTGCCCTCATGCAAGCATTTGCCCTGCAGCCACAGGACCCCCATTGGTACATCTTGACCCTCACTCACTCTGATGCTGAGGCATCAGGAGGAGCTGGCAGAGCCAGGAAGGTGATGAGGAAATGGAGGCTGGTTTTAAAGAGGAGAGGAAGCCAGGTGATATTTTGATATTAGCGGTCACCTGCCTTCCTGTGGCTTTGAGGGTATGGATTGAAGCACGGCACAGCCTTGGGGCTCCTGCCAAGCAGAGAAGCTGGAGGGGCTGCATGGGAAAGCCACCTCTTCCAAACTGTGTGTAGCTGTGTACGTTTCAGCTCTGCTCTGCCCTATGTGGGATGGAGCCATGGGCACGGTGAGCAACTGGGAATAAAGACACAGGTCTTTATTACCAGCTCATGGCTGGTAGGGTTGCACAATGACCCAAGTGAGTGGATCTCTCCAGCTCATGCTGAAGCATTCGGTGTCTGTTAGGGAAAATATTTGTTCTCGGCAGGAAGTGAAGATTTCCTCCAATTATTGTTATGAATGGATATGAAGCTGGGAGGCTTCGCCGAGGCTGCTGTGAGGTGTGTGCATGAGGTGGGTGAACCCTGGGCAGCACCACTGCTCTGATGCCATGCATAGCTGTGCTCATCCCTCCTGGATTTTGGGGTTGCACCTCTCCAGCATTTCCCAGGGGCTCTGTAGCAACAGCAGCAGACAGCTCCTACAGCAGCATCTCATAGAGTCATTGAATCACAGAATGGTTGGGTTGGGAAGGACCTTGAAGCCCACCCAGCTCCATCCCATGAGCAGGGACACCCCCCCAGCTCAGGTTGCCATTTGTGAAACCCCATTACAAACACACACTATGGCTGGGGCAGTTACAGAGCTCCAACATGAGAGTAAAGCTACCAGTGAAACCACTCTCGAAGGCAGTGTTAATATTGAAGGCTTAATCAAACTCTCCTTTTTTTTTTTTTTTCTTTATTTTTGGTCTATTAATGTGGTGTGAAGCAACTCGGTAGGATAATAGATATTTCTCAGCATGCTTGTGAAAGCTGTTTTACAGAACAAGCAGAATAAAAGCGAAATTAAGTGCTAAAGCTGTAGAATTTCAGTGCAGCATCCACACAAACACTGAAATGCTGGTGTCTGTCATAAAATTAGAGGTTGGGAAGCAAACTGTGCTCACCAGCAGTGACATCCTCTGCTCATCCCTTCCAGGTGTGTTGTCACAGCTGCCTGGATGCTGACAAAATACGTGCAGGGTGGCTGCAAAATGTGAATCACTCTTTTGCAATGGAGGTAACGGGGCAAGCGATGTAGCTGGGTGGAAAACAAAGGCAGACAATCAGCCATCCAAAGCCATCCCTACCAGGAGGAACCTGTCTCAGAGAGCAATGGCAACATGCATGCAGCATCTGATTGTTTAATATTACCCTGTGTTGTGGAAATGGAAGCACCTCGAGCCCCCAGAAGCTGCCTTGGGTGGAGGTGGGCTCACAGAGTTTTGGTGCTGCCTGCAGTGCAGACAGAATTTCAGCATCAAGGACGACTGTTGGTTCTTCTTGTGGGTTTGTTTTCCAGCACCTCCTTGTCTCCAACCTAGATAAGTATCTGGCCAGAGGGGCTTGAAGGATAAACAAGGCTATAATAGAGCAGCAGAGCTCTGCAGGCTGCCTTTGCATTTTGTACCACTTTGCTTTGAAGCTGGCATATATGGTTGCTTGTGGTTTTGGTAATGAGCACTGAACACCCTCCAACTGGCTCTCCTGGGCCTGTTTGAGCACACGAAGAGCTGGGTGCCTCCAAACAGACTCATTGCTGGGGAACGAAGCAAATCTCACAGCTCACAGTAATGTCTGAGGGATGGCCAGCTCCTTGGAATGGAAACTTGCTTCCGCTTCTTTCCCTCGCCCTGCTGGCCATCCCATGCCTGCAACACGGCTCAGCTGGAGCTCTGCCCACCACCAGCTCAATGCCTCGATAGATACATTGCAAAATAAAAAAAAAATAGTGGATGGGTTTGAAGTCCCTAACACACAACTGCCTATAGCCCAGCTCCGGATGTACGGAGCTGTTTGCATTTCATCTACCTATAACTGCCCGCTGTGTTTTTTTTCCTCCAGTATTTTGGCTGTTTCTCCCCTGACACTTCATCCATCACCAGGAGCTCTCTCTGGTGCAGGCAGTGCTGGTGATGGCTTTGCAGCCCCGATGGCGGTGTTGGTTTTGAAGGTTGGGCTTGGCATGGCTCAGCCCCTTGGGCAGGCAGATGGCAGCTCTCCATAAAGTCAGACCTGGGGAGATCAGCCTAGGGATGGAGTCGGAAAAGAACTGGTTGAATATTGAACCTGAGTGTTGTGTATATTACTGATCTGAATCGTGGCAGGAAACCCATTTCTCAGTCTGAAGCAATGGATGTTCTCTTTGGCAGCACAAGCATGGGACGTGCAGGATGCGGGTGCCACGTAGCACTTTGCCATCCTACAAGAGATCAAAGCAGCAGATAGATAGCGATCAAGGCTGTGGGTGAAGGTACCTCACAGCAGCAGGCTGAGAGAGTGGCTTAAAACAGAGCAGGGCAGTGAGATGCCCATAGCTTTGTTCCACCAAAGCGTGGCGGGGCTGAGGAGGCTGGTGCTGGTCCCCTGAGCTCCTCCACTCCCTTCTCAGCCCAGGTTGTCTGCAGCATTCTGAAGAAACTGGAGCGCAGTGTGCTAATGGGAGGTGATGACAGCTCAGTAGGTAGGGCTGGGATCGCTGACAGCTCGTAGCATTGCACCTTCACTGGGAAAATTGCAGCAATAACCTGGCAGGGTGGAAAAGAAGGTGTTTGTGCAAAAGCCGTTCCAAGCGTTTCGCCACGGGGATCACGGTCGTGCTAATATTTATTCTAGCATATGCACCAGGATCTCCTTATTTGAAGGAGATGTGTTTCGGGGAAAAACTCACAGACCCTTATTTTATGAGGGGAAGAGTGTTACGAAGAAATGTTCCTGAGGAATTTCTCCAGCTTTCTCGCTTCGGGGGCTGCCAGAATTCAGCCTGCATCCCTGCCTGCTAGGCATGCAGGCAGCAGGAAGGGAGGGAGGGAAAACCTATGGAAACTTGCACCAAAACACATAGAAAAGGTTAAATGTGGGAGGTGATTCTCTTCCTGCAGCTGCTTTCCCCCCCAGGTCCCCTGTAAAACCTGGAAGAGAGAATTCAAGTGACTGCAGGAGCAGGTAGGGCTCTTGCTGGTTGACCTGTTGTCCTTGGTGGCCCTGTGTAGGGCAATCACTGTGAATGGAATTTGTTTTGGGCTCCTTCTTGGAACCTTTAGCTGTTCATCTGCTCCCTGCCTGATGGGGAGTGCTGTGGAGCATCCCTAAACAGTCTGAGCCATGCCATAAAGTCTTTGCTCTGGTGGTTGGCTGGTGACAGTGGATTCCAGCTTTGCAGCTCATTTTAAGTTGTCAAGAACTCCTTATTTGTGCTTGTAGACAACTTTTCAGGTGCTTTCTTTAACATCTCATTTTCTTCCTCTCCCTCAGGGATTGCTTTGCATGCTCCTCGGGCATCTGGACTGCTGCAGAAGCCTAACTTCCTCTTCTGATCTGGTGTTAGCAGGCAGCTTTGGGAGAGGCTCATAGGAGCCCTGAGGTTAGCAGGGATGGAGGAGAGGCTCTGCGTGGTGCTGAGGCCAGGAGGGCTTGCACCACCTTGCACTAAGCTTCTCTCTTTGTCCAATACAGAGGACTTTGATGCTTCATTTTCATTGCATTCACGACTCTTCTCTGAATTGTGTCCAAGCTTGGAAACAAATGGAAATAAACGTTCCTTGAGTGCCAGGGCTTTGTTTGTGGAAGGGATTTGCTCTTCTGAGAGTGCTGTTGACTTTCAGGAGACTTAGGCTTTCAAGTACCTAAATCACTTTTTTGGAAACACGTTTGCAAATTTTTCTGAGGTACTTAGAAAATAGTTCTCATTTGTCCTCAGGCCTCCTGCAAGTTCTGTGTTAATTACACGTTGTCCATTAACCACAGCTTGCAGATCTCTGCTTGAAACTGTTGTACATTCAGCCCCTGCAAGGCAGAACACACAGAATGACAAGGTTGTGTTAAAAACAGGGAAGGGATGAGCTGGGGCTGGGTACCTGCAATGTGCCCTGGGATGGGTGAGGGCCACAGATGGCACTGATGAGAGGGAGCAACCCTTGTCTTAAAGTCATAGAATCATAGAATTCTTTGAGTTGGGAGGGACTTTCAGGGACATCCAGTCCATCTAGTCTTTGCAATGGCTTCTTGTGCTGCTGTGCTTCACTAGTGCAGCACCTGTTGATTATGAGGCAAGTAACTGGAGGGCAAAGTAGCTGTGATTCCAACCTAAGTTTCCCAGGAGATACATCAAGGGATGATTTGGCTTCATTTAGAGCCTGGGGTAAATTGTTTTGGTAGTTACTCCCAGCTTACATGGATATGAAAAGTACATGAGAAATAAAAGCCTCAGGCAAGTGTGCTGCATTTTGCTGGGATCATGGATCAGAATGTTGGAAGCAAGGCTGATCTTTGGGTAGCTGGATGTCCCCAGCAGGCAGCAGCAGCCCTCTCTGTCCTCCAGCTTTGGTTTGGCCCGGGCTCTCAAACGAAAGCCTTGGAAACAGCACATAGATTTGCCTTCTGGAAGGAGCACAGAACGCCCAAGGAGCTGACCACAGAAAGCCAGAAAGTGGTTTTTGTTGATCCTTTACACCCTGCACCCATCTTAGCTCCTCTCTCCCCTTCCTTCCACAGAACCGCCAGACCTTCAACAGCCTTAGCAGCCTTAGCAACGCAGCAGAGGACAACGCCCAGCGGCTCCCCACCACCCAACCATGGACCACAGCCCCCCACTCCCCGGAGGTGATGCCGGGCAGGACCCCCGCCTGCACCCCAGTGCCAGAGCCACGCACACGGGGCGAGGAGCGCGGGGCGAGCCGGGACGACCTGTCCTGTGAGGAGTCCGATGAGGGTGGTGGGAAGGAGGAGGATGGGACCCCGTGGCAGGGCAGTGGGGCGGGCACCCAGAGCCCCTTCCAGCTGGATGGAGAAATAGACATCGAGCAGATTGAAAACAACTGAGGACGCGGGGCTCAGCGTGGCTGGGGTCTGGGGCTCGCAGTGGGGAAGGGTCCCCTGGGGGTCAGCGTGGGTTGTGCCGTGCTGCCTGCGTCCCCCTGCCAGCTGGAGGGGATGAAGCAGCTTTGCCAAAATTTCATCAGGTATTTAGAGCAATTTTGTGTGTGTGTGTGCGTGTGTGTGTGTAAATCTTGAAATTCTTTGTAACTACTGTAGCCAGATATCAGCTAGTTTGGGAAAACCGCCTGTCAGAACTTGGAGACCAGAGGGATGGGGATCACCAAACAACGCTCATCCATCAGTGAGAAAACTACTTCTGCAAATGTAGGATCGCAGCTGATGGATCCAGCCATGGCTTCCAGTTCACACATGTGCTTGTTTGGAAAGCAAAAGGAAAAAAAAAAAAAAACATCCCCGGGGAGGACTGGAAAACTGGGGGAAGGAAGAGAAGTCAGCTGAGATTGCCAACCGTGTAGTGGTGAGGCTGGGCTGGTGGTGGGGCAGCTGCGATGCCCAGAGCCCACACTGATCCTCTAGCCCCTGGCGGTGCCATCAAATGGAAACCACAATTTTTGCTGAAATTTATTGATGGTAAGAGCTGGATATTTTTTTTATACAGATTCTTAATTTTCTTTTTCCCGATGAGGATCCAGCAGCGCTCGGCCCCTCGCCAACCATCGCGCGGCTGCCACACTCTTTTTGCTCTGACTGTGAAGTGGATCCCTGTCCAATGCCATAGGATTACTTGACAAAAGTAAGCTGTCAAAATGCTGAAAATTCAGGTAGCAGCACTGAAAGCTTTTCCTCTCGCTGTGCCTTGTTAAAGCACAGATAAAGCGGTGACCATTGCGTTTGTACGAGATACACTCCTCCATGAAATAAGCTGTCTGCTTGCTAACTGGTTTAGAAGGACACATCCTTATTTTTTTTTTTCCCCTTTCTTTTGTTTAAACCTCTTGGAAAGCTGTACGTGCGGCTTCCAGCATCTTCTGCAGGTTCCTTAGGGTTATTTCCCAAGTTCTGCAAAAGCACAAAGGGAAAATGAAGTGATAGATCCCAATGGATCCTAACCCCTTCAGTAGGGGTCCAGCACCCCACTGGGAGTCTGCAAGTCAGAAGAGGCTGAGAGCGGCCAATGCAGGTTTACTGATCCCTGCTGTTACATTACTGCACTTTTCCTGCGGGGTTTTGGGCGTTCCCCCATCCCATCCACTCATAGCTTTACGTCTGCTTGTGGCCGCGGTCATCTCAGCTCCATGCAGAGCGGTGCCGGGACCTTCTCCTGTTGGGGAATCCTCCATCTCTTTTCAAGTGTCTCTCAATGTGTTGTTGAAAACAACCCACCCTGGCTGCACACCCCTCGTGGGAGGCCCCCAGCCCAGAGCTGGGTATGGCTCTATGAGTCAAGGGCCTTTGGGACGTGGTGTCTGCCGGCCCGTATCCCCAGGAGCAACGCAACCATATTTTGGCTTTGAGTCTTCCTGATGTCCCAAACCCTCATAACAGCCCCGGGCTCCCGCAGAGCTCAGGGCACGCTTGCCTATGCACACGTGGGGCTGTAACAAGGGCTCTTTTCTCCCTCCAAGGGCTGCTACCTAGGACATGCTCACCCCATGCAGTAGGACGGTGACCAAGTGGCCGTCGGCTGTACCTGACACAGACGTAGCATACAGTTTACATACAGCACAACCCGTTTGCCTTACTAAAGATGCTTCTCCAATGAGTAATGGCCTTATACCGGGCACATTAGCTTAGACACAGACTGCAGTGACGGTTTGTAGGCCACAGTGGTGTTCTGTTGGGTGTTTCTCTGTTGGTTTCGTATGATTTCATGTACTTGTTTTCAGTTCGAGAAAGCCTTACTTAAAAAAAAAAAAAAAAAAGGAAAAAAAAAAATCTCTCTCTGTAGAGGTAAAACAGTTGTGGATTTATATATATATATATATATATATAAATAAAAAAAAATTAAAAATATTAAATATAATATAGTACGTGCCTCAGATCCAGGGGACATCCTGTTGATTGTAGTTAGATGCGGTGCGAGTTCCTTGAGATCCATTGCAGCCCAGGGGCTCCCAGGGATCCACTGGTTGTTAGAGGACCTCACTGGGAACCCTTGCAGCAAAGCCCTGCCAGAACGTGGTAATGCAGTGCAGGTGGAGGCCTTTGCTTGCAGCTCGCAGGCTCGTGGTTGTGAAGATGCCCGTGGCTTGTTGAAGGCTTGACCCAATCCGACAGCTTCAGGATGACAGCAGGCCATGGCATCAGCAATAAGATTGCAGCAGTAAGGAAATAAAGGGTTTGGATAGAGGAACGCTTAGCACCGGTAACACACGCACGTGTTTCGAGCCTGTTCTAAGGAAGATTACATCTTGGACAAAAAGATGGGAAGAAGTGTTTGTAACATAGATTGTAATTTTTTCACGTTATAGCATAGCCTCCTTGGCCAATACAGTTGTGTTTTCAGTGCTTTGTTTCAAAGCTCCTGGCTGAACAGGATAACAAACTGATGTAGGATATTCTAGGATTGTAGCAGTGCTTTACGGAGTTTTATGTTTTCGATGTGGAAGAAATCAAAAGAAGAGGATGGCCAAAAAAAAAACAAACAAAAACAAGTCAACAACAAAAAAAAAACACAACAAAAAGAAATATGACAACAACAACAACAACAAAAGCCTTCTGAAGCTCTGCCCTGTCATAGCAACATCTCTGCACACTGCACAAGCGCAGAGGTATGTGTGTGCCCAGGCCATTGCAGGTGGCCCCGGGGTGGGCAAGAAGACTGCTGACCTGTCCCCTCTCCATGACTTGATTGCACTAGAGCAGCTCAGTCTCAGGAAATTGCTTGTTACTTTTACTGTGTAAATAAAGCTTCCTGGTTCCATAGCCCTCGGCCCGGCCGGCGTCTCGCCTCTCTGTGCTCCTACGCACCGCTGTGGGTCGGAGCTCTCGTGGTGGTGGGGGGGCTCGTATGTGGAGCTGGGGGAGGCGATGGGGAATCACAAAGCTGAGTGCCAAGCGATGTCTTAGGTTTCTTGTTTAAGGTCAGAGGTAATCATAGAATGATAGAATTGCTCAGGTTCGAAAAGACCTTCAAGACCATCAAGTCCAATCACAACCTAATCGTACTACCTAACTTTAACATCTGACGATGTCCCATCCTTAAAATATGAAGCTGAGCAAGGCAGGAAGCCCAGGTAAAGGCACACAGGGCCTCTGTTATCTGTGAAATCAGACAATGTCCTACAGCCTGTGCTCTGCTCCTTCCCTTCACTTATTTCTTAAACCAGAAAGCAGAACGGCTGCATTTCCTTAAGTGAGCGAACAATCCAAAAAGTTTGTCTGCCTAACTTTAATCTGACCGACAGGCTTAGCAGAACAGAACAAGAAGAAAGAATTACAGGATAAAAAAGGAATTATCCGTGACCCACTGCAGCACTAATGCTGGACCGTGGCTTACAGCATCCTCTGTGTGTGTGTGGAGCCGTAGACTTTGGCTGAACCACTACCCTGAGGGTAAAAGATAGAAAAACAGAACAAGAGACACCACTAAGGTCATTTTCCCAGATGTAGTTTGTTTTATTGCAATTAAACTCCTACATTCCCCCTCCTGTCCCCAAGGGGTGCAGTCTTTGCAACGCACTCGGTGCAGAAACACAGAACAGTGCATCGGTGCCTGGGGTCACCTTAACTCTGTGGGCTGCTGGAAACCGAGCTGGAATTGTCATTTACTGCACTCAGACAGCAGTAGCTGGATGCAGGCAGCATGCTGTACGTACACACACGTGCTCTTTGTGTTTAAATAACCTTTCTGTGGTCCCACAGGAGGCCAGAAGCAGGTTAAAATCCATGTGGTCTCATTCCGTTCCACTCTAAGGCACAAAGTCTTGCCTAAAATCCAAGGGGTACAGAGCTGCTGACCGCACTTGAAAGCTTTTGGCTTTAAAAGGTTGCAAACACCATCCAGAGGCAGTGATGGTGGGGAAGCCATCCCAAATCTATAATTTTCTCTGTTTGGAGTGAGCTGCCCTGCCTGCTCACCAGGCTGCCCTGCAAAGGGGAGGAGAAACCATAGGCCCCTGTTGGAGATGTCCCCTACAAACCCTTTGGGGGTGCTGATCCAATTGAACATGACAACAACAGGATTAGATTCACAGCACTGTGTTTATTAACGCCATGACGGCACAATTATTCTGCGATTTGTCATAGCAGTCCTGAATTCCTGCCCTCTGACTCAGGGCAGTGCCAGAGAGGTGCTGGAAACCAGGATGGAAACAGAACCACAGCCTTGCCCAGTGTGCTCTGATAGTCCCACAGGGTTTTTGGGATGCCCATAGGATGCCTACCAGTGTGGAGGCACACCGGTACCCAGCCAAACTGCGCAGGGCATGACTGCTCTCCATGCCCCTCAGAGACATCCTCATCTTTAAAGGGCTGTGCTGGCACTTGGATGGCACCGAGGGGAAGGAAGCTCAAAATGCACACAGAGGGTTTGGTGTTCTCTCTGTTGAGGTTAGTCTTGGTTTAGTACCTTGGGTGAACAGTTCAGAAGCACACCAGGGAGACAGAGGACGGAGCAGCTGGTGGCTGTGCCACATGCAAGGCACCATCCTCATCCCTTAGGTCTCTGCAGCACCATTGCCCCTACATCTGGCTGAGGATCGTGTCCACCGCTTCTGCCAGGTTGTTCACATAGGCGTCAGGCTTCACCTGGGGGTGGTTTTCATCAGAGGGCCTGCAAAGGAGACAGAGGGGACAATGAGTGAGAGCAGCCTGCTTGCTGGGTCCTTCTGCTGCTACCCACAAAGCTTGGCCAGGCTCAGGATCCAGATGGAGCCCTTGGCTGAGCCTGGGTCTCAATTGACTGCAAGCCTACGAACCTGGAAAGTTGCAAACAATTCCTCTCCCATGGTTGTTTTTTTTTGTTGTTTTTGTTTTTGTTTTCTAGAAATAGGTAAGGAAAGGAAGAATCCACTTCTGACCCAGAAACAAGCAAGGTCTGCACACAGTTTTAGTGAATGGGGAGGATCTGCTGGGGTTGAATTTTGCAAATCCAGTGGTGGTGTTTTCCATCAAAAAGAGCCAGACTTGTAGTCACTGCCATCAGCACCCCGGAGCAGAGCAGCTCAAAGCTGTGCTCACCAGGGATTTAACTGAAGATAGTGCCCTGCAGATGCACAATCCCATTTCACTGATTCAGCAGCATTTCTGGCTGGGAGAGACAGAAAGAGCCCGGGTCAGTTTCTCAAAACTCACAGCCCCGTTATGGCCCTGGGGCTGAGAAACCCAACAGCTGCTGAACAGAAAACATATGTATCTTATACGCTTAATGGCTTTCCTTTGGGAAAGAGTGAGAGCCCTCATGTCCAACTCCTGTCACTCTTGGCTCCTGTCGAGGCCATTTTCCCAACAGGGAACATGCATTTCCCATTGGATGAGTGGGAGGCAGAGATTATTATTATTATATTATGTATAATATATTATAATATTATATATTGTTATAATAATAATGATTTGCAGAAGGTGTTGAGCACTCACCCATGCAAGTACCAAGTTATTTCTCCAGTTGCAGCAGCACACTCCCAGGGCTATTTCCTCTCTGCTCATTTCTCAGCTGCTCTCACAATGGCAGAGCCCTTCTCTTGATTTTGCATGCTAGAAAGTTGCATTGTGCAATAGGGAAACTGAAAGAATGCTCTCCATGCTCCTGGGGTCACCTACACGTGGCTCTGTGAGCAGCCTTTGGTATTTCATAGAATCATAGAATGGCCTGATCTGAAAAGGACCACAATGATCATCCAGTGTCGACCCCCCTGCTATGTGCAGGGTCACCAACCACCAGACCAGGCTGCCCAGAGCCACATCCAGCCTGGAAATGGTGCTGCCTGGAAATGGTGCTGCCATTAAATCTTTTTATTTAAGAGGTGAAAGGTTATTCCACAGGTCTTTATGTAATTCTCCAAGTTCTACCTTGTTCCAGGGCTGCGGTGTGATAGGAGCCACATTTGTGAGCATTTTTAGGTTCTCCTCAACCAAAGAAGGGTTTTGATTGCTGAAGGCAAAGCGAGTTATAAAATACTATGGAGAAAAACCTTAAAATATAAAGAGTAAAAATCCTGTGCATCCCCACCCCTTATGCACCAATCATTGCTCCTTCTATGATTTATCCATGAGTCTTTTATGACTACAGAAATGCTGATATGGTAAAATACTCCTCTTTTTTTTTTTTTTTTTTGCAATAATCCTTAATCTCAGTGGGGATTAAAAAAAAAATAATGAACAAAACTTTTCTCCATCTTACACCTTGTAAAATGTGTATTTCCTTGCTTATACACCCGTGTGCTGGGAAGGGGTGGGCACAGAGATACGCAGATCTATCAGCTGGAACAGAGAGAACAAGGGAACAAGGCTCTGATAATGCAACCCTTCCTGCAGATCAGGGCCAGGCCATGTGCATGCTGTTGCCTGGCTCCAGAAAGGACTATGGGCTGGACTGCATCACAGGGCAGAGTCCTGGAAGAACACACTCTTCCTTACTTGTCCCAGGGCTGAGCCCCCGTCAGTGCCATTCCTGAAGCTGTTTCATGTGGTCACTGCCTTGTCTTGCAGGACACAGCTGTGAACACTTGACCAAGCAGCTCTGGGTTTTTCCCTTGGCTCTTTTATGCATCTGTCAAAGGGAAAACTGTGAGCAGTAATTCTCAAACAGCAACGCCAAGAAGCAATGCTCCAAATGTAGCCAAACCAGGCTTGTTAGAAATGAGGCAGAGAGGCTGTGCTACGGAACCATGGGGACCTGGGCACCAAGGGGCTGCAGGATGAACAGGGATGATGGTGAGGGGTCCTCCAACCCCTTCTGGGGCTTCAGGCATTTCTCCAGCTGAAAACACCAAATCAGGAGTTTGGGACCTTTACATCTGCTCCAGCACTGATGGCTCTACAAGTGCCCCCACCCAGGGCCTCCAGGGGTGGGTGGGAGCTGGAGGTTTGGTAGTACACATGTCCATCAGGTATCCCTGGGGCGTGACCAGCCTCTTCCACCCCAGCCCATGGGTCAGTGGTGCAAGACCCCAGCAGCTCTCTATGGCCCCAGGTGCCAGATCCCCCACCCATCCTGAATGGGGTTGGTTCAGGTCAGTGCTTCAGCTCCAAGGGAACAGCAGGAACAGAGAGTTGGCTCTGCCATATCACCTCTTCACACAGTCTCTTGGTGAGAAGACCTCCTGCATGGGAGCAGGGCTACCAGCAGACAGCTGGCTTCCTCCTGGTGAAGCATGGAGCTAAAACCCAGATCACAAGGCAGAGAAATTCTGCAGGGGGTCTTTCACTGTCTGGGTCAGACTTCTCCAAGTTTTATAGGCCACTTTCCATAGGTATGTTTCTGCAAACAGAAGTGTAAATGGAGGTGCCATTTAGGACAGGGATGACATGGGGGTGGAAGCAGCTCCATCACTTGGATCAGCCCCAAGGCCTGTAGAAACTTGATTTTGGAGAAGAGCAGATGGGAACTGATCAACACACAATCGCTATCGTGGATTAGAATCAGCTTTTGTGTAGTCCTTTAAAAATAGGGGTGGGTAGGAAAAACAACAGGCAGGGCCAGAGCAAGGCACAAAAGTTAAGTGGAAAAAGACAAATGATCTCACATTCCAGTGTGCAAGGCTGCAGTCATTTGGTCCATAGTGCTGCACGTCCCACAGTCACTGACCTTTCCAGCAAGACAGCAAGGAAAGATCACCCACCAAAGCTCCCTGTGTTTGCACAAGGAAGCTTTTTGTGTCACAACACAGAATTCCTGCTAACTCCCCAATTAAGCAGCATACACTCCTGCTGCATAAAATTAGATAAAAAAGATTAAAACCATTCCTCCTGACAACGTATTCTTCAGGGGCTCTTAGCACGGCTGTAAAATATGTGAGATGGAGTTTAACAAGATTTTCTTTATGAGGAATGTAAACAGACACTGTTAACCTTTGCTGGTGTCTTTGGACAGATGCAATAATTTCAGTCGGTGCTAGGAGTGAAACTCTCGCTTTCACTGAATGTGCAATTTAATCAGTTCAGCACTGAAAGTCTAAATAAATCACAGTGACTGACAGCACACCGACGTGCAGCTGATGGATGTCTGTGCAGCACATTTCCTGGTGTTACGGTGGGAGCCAAACCAGCACGAGAGGCACCTGGTGAATGCACCCTAGGCTGGAGCAGGTCCCAGAGCTTCAGGGGACGGTGCCTCATCCCTCATGTCACAGCCAGATGTCCCTCAGAATAGAAAGAGAAGATTTTCTGGCTCAAACACCAGTTTTTGGAGAGCTGCTGCAACGGCTTGCATAGAATTATAGAATTACAGAGTCATTCAGGCTGGGAAAGACTTCTACAATCGCCAAACCCAACCCCAGCCCACCCCCACCATGCCCACTGCCCACGTCCCTCAGTGCCACATCTCCATTGGTCTGGAACACCTCCAGGGATGGTGACCCCAGCACTCCCTGTGCAGCTGTGCCACTGCATTACCATGCTTTCTGAGAAGTTTTTCCTAATACCCAACCTGAGACTCCCCTGGCAGTACTTGAGGCCATCACCTCTCATCCTATCGCTGTTAACTGGGAACAGAGGCTGACCCCCACTTTGCCACAGCTGCCTTTCAGAAAGCTGGAGAGAGCACTGAGGTCTCCCCTGAGCCTTCCTTTCTGCAGACAGAACCACCTGAGCTCCCTCAGCCACTCTGCATAAGACCTGAGCTGCAGACCCTTCACAATTCTCTTGCCCTTCTCTGAACACAGTGCCTCACCTCAGTGTCTGTCTTGCACTGAGGGACCCAAAGCAGAACACAGCACTTGAGGTGCTCGCAGAGGTGGACAAAGTGTCCCAGCCACAAGCCAAGGATGCCTTCTGCATTGCCACAGCTGCTGTGCCGTTCTCCCTGGCCAGTAAGCTTGCACAAGGAGCACAAGTCAGTGCGGGAGACTTGCAGCAACCTCCATCTCTCCTCTCTTACCTCCCAGAACTGTGCACAAAGCTAATTGTGTTTAATTGCAACTCATTGAAATTCAAGCATTCACCAACAGGTAGAAATTAACAGCCAAATTGTTTGCTAACATCTGAGGGAAGTCTGTGGGCTCGCCTCTTAATTGCTGCCATTTATGTAAAGCTGCTGCAGCTCTATCTGAGCAGTAAACCTGCTTAAGTACAGCACTTCTCCGGGCAGCAAGGATGCATTGTGAAGAAGGTATTTGTAACTTCTGTGCAGGATGTTGCTAGGCCAACTGATACAGCTAGAGAAAACAGATAGGACTTCTGCAAATACAACCCCATTGTCTGGTAGGGTAAACGGGAGCTGAGATTTATTGCTTTAACTCTGCTACCTGCAGCAGAGCACCTGTGCAGCTGTACCAAGGGACACCGTCCAGTAGCCAGGCTTGCTAAAAAGCACACAAAGCACTGAGTTCTGCAAATCCTTCCAGAAGTATTGCACTGAACAGACCCTAAACCAAGATCTCTTTAGACTCCCAGTGAGAGATGCAAACTGTGACCCCCTGCACTAAACCCTGTCAGTAAGCCAGGGTGAGCAGTGGGATCGGCCGCTCTGCCTCGTGGATGCACCCAGTGCTGCAGTGCAAGCACAGCACAAATGGTTTCAATAACAACAGGTCTCCCTGTCCTCCTCAAAAGTTAAATGCACGTTTGCTGCTTGCTGAGGAAGTTTGAGTGCTGCCCCTGCTCTGCCAAAGCCTC